GGAGTTTCTTGCTAATGTTCTTATTGATGATGATCTACCAAAGATGATCAGGCCTTCTAGTAAATCAGCCATTGAAGAGTTGGATAAGGTAAAGATCGATGAAAGATCATTATGTAATGTTTGGTGTGCTTTGAAGATTTTTCAATTGGGACTGAAGCCAAACGTCTGCCCTACTCCAATGTTTATCATACAGGTTACGTTGTTAAATGGCTTAATGAGAGAATACATGTCCATTGTGCCACTATAAATTACCTGTTATGGATTTTGATCTAATTGTACCATTGCCTGCCATTGCTTTTGATGTGGACTCTGAGAGCATGACTGCTACTAATTGATTTCAATGTCATTTAATATGTATTTATTAGGGTTATGTTCTATTTTCTTTTTGTTTCTTTTGAACAATTTGTTTGTAAACTTAAGGGTACCCAAATCATAATGAAAATTGTCATTTGGAACGCTCAAACCCTAAACCTCTAATCACCCAAGTCTTCAGTTACATGATTATTAAAAAATTTATCTGAACTTAATCTTTTCAATATATGATGTTTTTGTATTTCTTAAATCTGTCATTTCTAACATGACCATGCTTTTCTACAACTATTGATATAAATTCTGTTGAAGTTTTTTTTTTTGTTCAAGTCTTCTATTTCACATCAATATAAGATGACCAAGATTGGTCCTAAAGAACTTCGTTCAGTCAATCAATTTTTGATAAATAAGCAGATACTTTTCAGATTGGGAATTGACTTAGTAATTAGCCAAGAGCAAACAATCAGAGAGTGTTTAATAAATGAATTGATACACTACTTAAATGAAAGTAAATTTAACTTTTAATCTTCTAAGACTGCAATCTTTACGTCTTTAATCTGTATTGTAATGTACAACTAGGTGTCCATAGTTAGATGTTTTCTAGACACTGTGTTCATTTTAGGTTCTGTTGTATTTTTGGTCTCAAATCTCTTTGTCTAGCAGCTCTGAATATTTTTCAGCACATCTCTTGATTTAAAAATAGAAAACATCAAATAGTTTGAGAAATATCCTGTGTTTTTCATACTGCTTTAATCTTAAGCCAAAATCTATTTCAACCTCAAAATATTAATTTAATATCATGTGGGTCATTGACCACGTATCAGATATTAAACTGATAAGAACAGATACTACACTTAATCTTAGCCAAAAGGCCGAGAAAGGTATGCTTTGTAATTGTTCTCAACTTCTCTTTCATAACTTGCCTCGCCCAAACCCTATTCAACTGTTTATGATGTGGGATAGGGAACTCAACCAAGTGCAGTTGTCACGGATCTAAGGAAGAGTCTTGAATCCCACATCGAACATAATATGAGGGTCACTGGGGTATAAAAAGGTTTACACCATCTCTACCTTGTGAGGCGCCTTTTGTAAAATAAAACCGTGAGGCCAGGGGGGCCAGAGCGGATAATACCTCACAAGGGTGTGAACCGTGGTAGTTAGGTTGATCTGGGACGTTGGAAGGGTGAATGCCTGGGTCCCAGAGCCGCATGGGTTCAGAACTTAAGTCTCGACCCATGACGTGACGAGGGCATCACGAGGTTGGGTGGAGGAGAATGTCACGGACCAAAGGAAAAGTCCTGAATCCCACATCGAACATAATAGAAGGGTCACTGAGGTATAAAAGGGTTCACACCGAGCAGACAAATACCTCACAAGGGTGTGAATCGTGGCAGGAAGGCTGATCTAGGATGCTAGAAGGATGAATGCCCGGGTCCCGTAGTCGCACGGGTTCGGAGCTTAAGTCTCGACCCGTGACAAGTGATATCAGAGCCAACCATAAACCGTTCGATCCACGCTGAGCGCCTCGAGAGAGGTAGGCAGGGTGGCCAACCTCCGTGACGAGGGCGTCACAAGGTTGAGTGGGGGAGAATGTCACGGATCTAAGGAAGAGTCATGAATCCCACATCGAACATAATAGGAGGCGCTTTTTGTAGGACAAAACCGTGAGGTCAGAGAGCCAGAGCGGACAATACCTCACAAGAGTGTGAACCGTGGCAGTCAGGCTTATCTTGGACGCCGGAAGGGTGAATGCCCGAGTTTCGGAGCTGCGCGAGTTCGAAGCTTAAGTCTCGACTCGTGACACAGTAACATGTATATTTCAATGGCCAGTGAAAGCTGATTGCTAGTTACCTGAATATCAGAGCAAAATCTGGCAACAAAAACACTCTAACAATTACCATTTCCTTGGGAGTTATTTATTAATAATTTGCGTCTTTGAAATGGTATCTGACATCTGCTTTGAGAAGGCACGGTTCATATAATCTATTGGTATAACTTCAATGTCTTGTTTTATGCTGCGTTTAGCTGCAAAATCAGTGATCTATTGAGTCTCCTTCATCCTTTCAATCATGCTGATCTTCGTTCCTGCCGTAAAGGGTATAACTTGTTAATTTCTCAGGCTTAATACCTAATTATGTCCAATACTGAAAATATACAGTCAGCTTAACGCATGTCAGCTTCGCAGATGATTTACTAATATTTGCAAAGGGTAAGTCGGATTCTGTTATTGGTGTAAAGGAGGTGCTGAAGGTGTTTTACACCTTTTCTGGCCTACAACTTAACAGTGAGAAAAGTGAGTTATATTCAACGGGAATTAATAGAGAGGAGATCAGTACAATATAGCAGGCTTCTGGTTTTAAAATTGGATTGCTGCCTGTTAGATACTTGGGGGTACCTTTGGTTACCAGGAGGCTCACCAGAGAAGATTGTGCCACTAACGGACAAGATCACAGCCAGGATTAAAAGTTGGGCAGCTAGGCGTTTGTCTTACGGTGGAAGGTTGCAGGCTTGCAGCTAATCCAGTCTGTGCCGTTTAGTATGCAAAATTATTGGTCTAGGCAATTCATTATGCCAAGGCACGTGCTTAAGAAGATAAATCAACTAATGCTCCAGTTTCTTCTGGAAAGGGAGAGAAGGATCGGCAAGGGGAGCTAGAGTGAGCTGGCGTGCAATTTTTTTCCCTAAATCTGATGGAGGACTTGGTCTCAAAGATATAGTATCTTGGAACCAGGCTTGTCTCAAGAAGAATATATAGGACGTTTTTATTAAAGCTGGTTCAATATGGATAGGATGGCTAGAAGCTTATGTTTTGAAGGAGAGGAGCATCTGGCAGGTTCCAGAACAACAAACAAGTAGCTGGAACTGGAGGAAGCTACTTCAGCTTAGATAGACTGCACGGCAATTTATAAAGATAGAGAATGGAGTTGAGATCTGGCCTTTTCTAAGCAACACCTACTCAGCTGCTATGTATGAAATACGATTAGGCCGAAACAAGAGAAGGTTGAATGGCATAAACTCATATGGTTTCAATACCATATTCCAAAGCACTCTATGATCTCTTGGATGGCGATATTAAATAGACTTTCAACAAAGGACAGGTTGAAAACGCGAGGAATTGATGTGGATGACAAATGTTGCCTGTGCCAGAGAGAGGACGAAACCAGGGAACATTTGTTGATGTGATTATTCAGAAGAGATTTGGCAAAAGATATTACGGAACTGCAGGATCTTTAGGCGGTGGAGAACTGGTCTGGAGAGTTGAGATGGGCAGTGAGCAAATTGAAGGGGAAAGCTTTGATCTCCATCATATTGCGATTAGCCTGGAATGCCAGACATCAGATATAGAAAGAGAGCAACAGCAGGATGTTACAGGTCCCTGAACGCATAAAAGATGCTGTGAGACTTCGATTACAGAGACTAAGTCAGATATTCGATTATAGGGACTAAGTCAGATTGCTGCGGATACAGTAAATAAGATGATGTGTGATACGTGGAATCTTAACGTTGCTATGGTAGAATAGGTTGCAATTAGAGATGCATATATTGATGGTTTGTAAAAGACAGTTGGGTTGTTGTATTGTAGTAGAATTCTGCTAGCTTGATAAATAAAATACAAATTATCCAAAAAAATACTGAAAATATATTATAATAAAAAACATTACGAACTTAAGATATTTATACAGACCTCAAATCACTCTTACATAACATATTAACAATAGATTTTTTATTATATATTTATTGTATTATGTATAAATATATAAAATATAAAAATAAATTTGATTTTTTTTCACATGCAACTGCAAAAAAAAATCAATTTATTTTATCACATAACTCTTTCTTTGACATTATTTTCTCATTTTTTCATTTTTTTCTTTTTTTGTTCCAATCACATAAGATTGTCCAAAATCTTGTAATACTTAAATCAATTCTCAACTAAGATGAATAATCCTTCAAAATTAAGGAAACTTATATCCGTCTCTTCTCTTGTATTATAAATTTCTGGTACGCTTTACCTTTGAAAAATTGCAATTACAAAAAATTGCAACCTTCCATTCTTCTTTTTATTGCATATTTTGTTTCAAGTTTGAATATGTCTGATGAATTAGATCAAGCTTTTTAATCCCTTGTTGGAATTTGAGTTTAGAGGGACAGGAAGCTTTTCTATGCATACCATTACCCAGCATGTTTCCTAATAATGAAAGGGATTATGATGTTCAGTTCTCTGATGATGCTGACATGGAAGATGTGGTCATATTCGATATTGATGATGATATTATGGAGATTCTTAAGGATGCTCTTGTTGATGGAGATTCTCCAAAGATGATCTAGCCTGCTAGTAAATCAGCCATTGAAGGGTTGGAGAAGGTAAAGATCGATGAAAGATCATTAGTGTTGTGTTTGGTGTGCTTTGAAGATGTTTCAATCGGGACTGAAGCCAAACGCCTGCCCTGCTACTATGTTTATCATACAGGTTGCATTGTTAAATGGCTTGAAAAGAGGAATACGTGTCCATCGTGCCGCTATGAAATGTCTGTTGTCGATTTTGATCTAAATGTCCCATTGCCTGCCATTGATTCTGATGTAGATTATAATTGATTTCAATGTCGTTTGTAGTGTGTATTTGTTAGGGTTATGTTTTATTTTCTTTTGTTTCTTTTCAACAATTTGCTTGGAATCTTAAGGGTACACAAACTATAATGAAACTGTTCATTTGTTACCTAAACCCTAAATCCTAATCACCCAAATCCTCATATTACATGATTATTTTAAAAATATACCAACCTTTTCTTTATGATTCTGATGTTTTGGTATTGTTACATAGTTATGCTGAAAAACCACTATTGATATAAATTCTTGTAGATTAATTTGTTTTGTTTCGCAGGGTTTTTGAATAATCTTACAAGTGCTGCAGTTTATACTTTCTCACAGCTTTTGAGACCATGATTTTCCCTGAAGAAAATTGTTCAGTTAATGTTTAATAACACTAGCTTCTCAGATTTGATCTAGTTTATCAATGCATTAGCTAGCATTCAAAGGTTACTCTGGATTAAGCCTTTAGACTCAAACTATTACTGCTAATATATGACATGATATAATCGATCATCTATAGAATGGCCATTGACGAATTTTAGATGTGAGAAACAATGTTGCTTCAAGACGGTTTCCGACACCGGTTGTACCTGGCTGCGCAGCTGCTCTCATCTTAACATTATGGTCTTGGAGACTGGGTGGTTATATTCCTTAAATTTCAACATGATTTTTGACCTTTAGCTTTACAGAATCCAAGTATTAGCAACTTCCTCACAACCAAGATTCTACAATCATGATCGACAAACTGAAATCAATGATACTAAGTCAATGCAATGCTCGATTCAACAGATAGAAGAACAAAAGAAATCAAGAGAGCCGCTACAAACATACAACTGTTTTCGTTTCCTGCATTCTGCCATGATTAAATATCTCAATTCAAGTGCCATCCTGTTCTGTGGAACATATATACAAGAAGAAATCAATCACCAAAACATAAAGCATTTTAACCACCCTGATCAAAGCCACAACAAATAAATGGCATATGAGTCATCACTGCTGCATAAATTCTGGGTTGAATGCAAGAGCCTCCCAATATATCAGCTCCCTCATCTGCTCCTCGGTTAATGCATGCTGCTCGAAGTCGAAGTTAAAGGGGGTCATGCAGACAGGCTCATCACTTATGTCATGCAGTGATGTTAGGTAGGGATGAGCAAGTGCATCTTCAACTGGAACAAATAGGAAGCCGTCTTACATGAGTTCCAACTCAGAACAAAAAATAATAAAGAGAGAAGAATTGCAAAATGACATCATCTAGAGAAAGACAAAGACAACTAACCCAAATGTGACCAATTTGCATGCATCAGAAAACTTTCAGAAGAGAATTGTGAAAAAGTATAACAAAAACTGAACACTATATTACGTGCCCCATGGCAACAAGCATATGCATTTGCCAAACTCACCAGTAATCCTTAGTCTGGGATCAAATGTCAACATCTTTTCAACAAGATCAATAGCTAGAGGGTGGACATTTGGAAACTTTTCAGTAAAAGATTGTCGACAATAAGGAGGAAGTTGCTGAATGTATCTCTTGGCATTTTCATTTAAAAACCCCAACTCAGCCTCTGATGGCGTGCCAATCAGCTGCAAGGCAAAAAGTTCATTATCCATGGTGAAATATTACAGGCATTTTTTAGTTTACCATTTTAATATATTATTCAGTAAAAAGAATTAAAAAAAAAAAAAAACCTTTTCAAGTAGTAAGTTCATTTACTTAGATGCACTGGAATTTACAAACTAATGTTATACAATACAGGAAGCTAATCAAGGAACGCTATCTATCGTAAAAACAGCATATTCATATTTTTCCATAAATTTGCACAGCACCATATTTAGCAACTTATTTGTTTGTATTTTAGGTAATTTTATACTGGTTGGGAGATAAAAAGAATTTACCTCCATAAGCAATCGCAGCTGGTGCACATGATCTCTCCCAGGAAATAATGGCTTCCGATCCATCAATTCCATAAAAATGCAACCCACTGACCATACATCAATGGCTGCAGTGTAATCTTGTGAGTTTAGCAACAGTTCTGGTGCACGATACCATCTTGTAACAACATATTCTGTCATAAAATCACTTTCCGAGGTGACACGAGCTAGTCCAAAATCACATATTTTCAAGTCACAATTAGCATTCAGGAGAAGGTTGCTAGGTTTTAAGTCTCTGTGCAGAACATTTGCGGAATGTATATACTTCAGCCCACGTAAGATTTGATAGAGGAAATACTGCAAAGCACAAAGAATGGTTGTTAGATAATGTTAAGGCTCAAATGGTAACCCTTAAAACTCAGGCACTTTAATTAAATTAGGTACTGTATGATTTTTGCTTTTGTTACTTAGGCACTTTAATTACTATTAATTGCTATATCTCTGCATCGGTGAATAATAAAATGTTAATTTAAATGAGACCAAGTTTAAGGGTTACTTCGTTTTTGGAATTATGCATTTTCTTTGGAATTGTATGAATCAACTCTAACCCCTAGGTATGAAACCTAAGAAAATCATGGGAGAAGACTGTGATGTCCTTTTTTTCTTATTATTTAAATTTCAGCAATCATTCAGATCTAAAATCAACCCTGAAGCATTTCCTTTGAAGTTGAACCCCAGCAAAACCATCTATCCGAGCATAAACTAACCCATATTAGTTGGCCCTAAACCTTTAAATCAAGGTCACTGTTCATGGGCTCCAGGCAGCATCCACACAACCTCACAAAACTTTGAACTTCTCAATCCAATATTAATACTTTAGCATATTCCTTAAGAAACCTTATTTGCCAAATATATACTCCTTTTTTCCCTCCAATAAGCATAGATATTTGCAAACCCTAAATTGCATGCTGTCTCACATCAAATACCAACTTTTTGACTATTAGAGGCTTCAGGTACACTGTTTCTCTATGCCATATTTTTCACATGCAAAACATGGGTACTGATTGCATTTATAGCAAATCAAATTACCAATTCAATGAAATAAGAAGATTGAGTGATTAGGAAGAAGAAAAGCCCTGTACTGGCTAACAGCTTGGGTTGAAGGGAGCAAAATTAAGACTCTCAATTAGCATAGTCAACTGGAAATAGCTGTAACATAAAAACTTTAACTAGTAACTTAAGGAATATGACTCTATCAGAAAAAGCAACCACATGTCTATAATACAACCTGACAATGCTCTTCTGATAAAGCTTGATTAGAACGGATTATCTGATGCAGGTCAGTGTCCATCAGTTCATATACAATATAAACATCATTAAAGCATTCCCTCTGGGGTGGTGGAATTATATCCCTGATTGCAACTACCTGCATAAAAGGCACAAATTTGAGACTAACTCACAATGATGGCAAAAAAGATATTGTTCTCACTTTCTATGTTTGTTTGTGTGTATCCACAACTATAGAAAGAAGAATTAGCACAAAGAAAGAACACGTTATAACCAAATATTTTCAAGGTTTACATTGTAAACTAAGGTTTCAACAAAAATCATTAGTGACAGCATTAGCAAACACAAATCTGACAAAAGATTCATCAACCTGAACAACCAAACAACCAAATTTAGCCCAAACAAGACTTTTACATAGATATTATCTATATTTAATAATCAGATTACTGCAGCCACTGTAACATGAAAAACAGAGTTTTAAAACTTTGAAGAACAATTTTTATTGAGGGCTTTGAGGCCTTTTATTAGCAAATATGATCCCACATCACCATCCAAAAAAGAAAAAGAAACACTTCAAGGTTACAAATAAAAGACCTTAGTTTCTGTTCTTCACTTCCTAAATGGTGTATGACCGCATAAACTCATACCTACCATAAAAACCCGTCATCTTCGATTATTAACAATGCAGTCTAAGGAATATACAATGTCTTTGATAATTATAGAAAAAATATTAATTATGTCCGTACAAATCTTGGATATTCCTAGACAATGGATGATGCTAATGAATTAGATAAGCCACTTCCATATGAAATAATACCCGAGTACAGCTCATAAGTAAGCATTGAGATGTTATTAACGTGTTAGAATCTTGAGTTAAAGGTTTATTTAAATGATTGGCGAGTGAATTCTCCTAACGCACCTATGTCGGACACATATGAATACCTCAAATGGAAATCCAAATGGGTTTTGATCCTCCAAATATAAGGAAAAAGATCTAGAAAAAATTGAACGCACCCATGTCAGACACTTACTGCCGTGTTCGAGTAACATAGCCATCAACAACATTAGAACAACAAAACATAAATAAAAACCAACAAATGAATTGAATTAAAATCAAGTTAAAAAACCAAAAAAAAAAAAAAAATCTACTCACTGACGTTTTCATGATCCATGTGACGAAGCAGCTTGATCTCACGAAGAGTTCTCTTTGCATCAATCTTGTTATCAAATGCATTCGCTATTTTCTTCAACGCCACGTGTTCATTTGTCTCGGAATTCAATGCAGAACTAAACCCCAAAATAATTATAAATAAAATTAACAAAAAATAATCAAATAACTTGAGTGAAATTAAAAAGATAATAATCAAAAGAAGAAGAAGAGTTTACCAAACAATGCCGTAGGCGCCTTTACCGATAGGCATAATAGGGGGTTTATATTTAGCAGTGACTTCAAAAATATTCCCAAATATGTTATACTGAATAAACCTGCCGCCGTGGCTAAGAGTTGCCGGAATATTTTCCATCCCGGCGACCATTTGGGGCGGTTGCCGCTGGTGGTATTGCGAGTCGGGTTGTTTCGGCTGAGCTGCCTCCACCATCTCGGTGTCCGCCGGCTGAGGAAGTTCTCCGCCTTCCATTCTGAAAAAGAGAAAAAGAACTTGGGGGTCGGTTGGCGGATTGACAGGCTGCTTAGTATTTTATTGTTCAATGGATCTGAGTCCTTTTTTTTTCTTTATTTTTTTCTCTTGTTTTCTATTTTTTTTAAAAGGGTTTTCTCTTCTTTTTTTTTTTTTATCTTCGAAAAAAAGTTGCTTTATCCTTGAAAAAGGCCGCCACTAGCCAGTTTTTTTTGAAGAATTTTTTTAATGAACAGTGATGTCATATTATTATAATTTTTTGAAAAATTTGAATAAAAATGCATCTTTTTTAAGAAAATAGGTTTTTATTGATTTTATGATTATAAAAAAATTAAAAGTAAAATGATTTCATATCGAAAATATAAATAATAAATTTTTTAATTTCACAAATCAAATTAAAAAACTGTTATATATCTTAATTTTTAATTATTTTTTACTATACTGTAAGCAATATATTTTATCTTGCTAATTATACTTGTAAAATTTAAAAACTTCGTGATGAATATATAAAATAAAATTCATGTTTTACATAACTGGATTGATGTAAAAACTAAATTTGCATAACTGGTCAAAGTATCCAATGACCTTGAGTTTTTCACTGTGTTGGACTAGGCTCTGCCCTTTTGTCCCACCATTCACTGGTAAGACAACTTGCTGCTTGGGAAAGAAATTTCTTTCTTGAAAATCTGAAAATCAAGCATCTATGGTGAATTAGCAACACATGAACCATAACGTTGGCCCTTTTTCCAGATATCAATTAGAAAAATGTTAGGGAAAGGATCAGTTGCGGATGCAAATGCAAAGATGGAGTGTCCATGGACATTCCAAAAATTGAAAAACAAGAAAATTTAAAGGAAAATTTTTCTTGAACATCCCAAAATTTTCCCATAAACATATCTTTCTTAATTCTCTAACCACACCATTCATTGCCACCACTCAATACCCAGCTAAAGCCCACAGCCAGCCAATACCAGCCACTGCAATAAGTGGACACCCCAAAAATTCTGAATCTGCCATTGGAAAAGAAAACTCAGGAGGTCGACATGATATTATTAATATTCACCCAGACTATGGGGTATGGACACCAAACAGAGACAGAACAAGGAAGATTACATACCAGGATTAAATTCTACCATGTGAATGCTGGTAACACATATGTTGGATATGCATCATATTTGGATGCAAGCTCTTGTACAGAGGATAAATCTGCAGCTTGTCCAAAACTGTGGAGTCCAAGTTCAGTTGCATGGATCCCTCCAGTGATAAATGCTGACTGGATTCCAGCTGCATTTGCACCCTTAATGTCATGATGAAGAGAGTCACCCACAGCAATAGACTCAGAAGCATCCACACCGACCATGGCCATAGCTGATTCATATATTATCTGATAAACAATGAACAGGTGTAAATGAAAGTGACATTGCCATATGGAAAAAGTTCTCCTAAAATACAAGATCAAGATGTAAACATCAATGATATTAAAGAGAAATAGTGGTACACCACCCATTAACTTTTGAAAGTAAAGCACTCATGTTAGATGGTTAATGGGGCTATCCTCTGATGCTAAAGTTCAAAATTAGATAAAACCGTGTGATCACAACCATACACTTCATAAAATTACATTGAATAATCATAGGAAACAATTATGTCATAGTTCAAATTCAGGCAAACATCATTTGATTGTATAGAACCACCAACTAGATTGATCTGCACTTATAGTTGCTTGGATATGATACAATTTTAAATCTATTGGTGTACACAGCCACGGACAGATTTACAGTGGAGGCAGTGACGGCTACTGCTTCTGCTGGAATCCTAAAAATATCTAGGTATTATTGCCAAGATATCAGAAATTTCATACTATTCTTTCCTTTGCTGAGACTAATTTAAAACAAGTGCATGCACACACACACATGCAAAGACATATATATGTATGCAACTATGTACATATGTCACGGACCTAAGGAAAAATCTTGAATCCCACATCGAACATAATAGGAGGGTCACTGGGGTATATAAGGGTTCACACCACCTCCGCCTTGTGAGGCGTCTTTTGTAAGACAAAACCGTGAGGTCAAGGGGGCCAGAGCGGACAATACCTCACAAGGGTGTGAACCGTGGCGGTTAGGCTGATCTGGGACGCCGGATGAGTGGATGCTCGGGTCCCGGAACTGCGCGGGTTCGAAGCTTAAGTCTCGACCCGTGACAAGTGGTATTAGAGCCAACCCTAAACCGTTCAATCCACGCCAAGCACCTCGAGAGAAGTAGGCAGGGTGGCCAGCTCCGTGACGAGGGCGTCACGAGGTTGGGTGGGAGAGAATGTTACGGACCTAAGGAAGAGTCCTGAATCCCACATCGCACATAATAGGAGGGTCACTGGGGTATATAAGGGTTCACACCACCTCCACCTTGTGAGGCGCCTTTTGTAGGACAAAATCATGAGGCCAAGGGGGCTAGAGCGGACAATACCTCACAAGGGTGTGAACCGTGGCGGTTAGGCTGATCTGGGACGCCGGATGAGTGGATGCCCGGGTCCCGAAGCCGCGCGGGTTCGGAGCTTAAGTCTCGACCCATGACACATACATATGTATATAAAATTATAAATCTTCAGAGATGTGCGATAATATAGGTATGGATACTAAAGCAAGGACAATTGTGCCATTTATTAATTTGATATGTACTGGTAAAAATCTTGTACAAGTCTTTACATTTGGATTTGAATATGGGTAAGGGGGAAGCTTCACTTTTGGTAGGATTTGGATTTGGAAACAGCCCCACATATACCTCATAGTCATGCCTAATGCCAAAATCCAAATGAAACCCACTTGACTTGAGCTCTGTGCTTCACTAGAAGCCCACAACCAATGCCAGTTACTGACTGTGCTATGCTTGTTTAACAAGGTGAAAAAACTGTGATTTTTATATCTTAAGATCGAATTAGGCAGGCAAAGCAACCAGAACATGAAATCCTATGACAATGATGTAAAGAGGTACTATGTAGAAATGTCTATGACTGGTAGAGTAAGCTTGCATGCCTGTTTGTTGAACAAAGACATGGCAAGATCATACATGTCCCTAGATATTAAGAAGCAAAGAAATACGTAATACAAAGAACAAAATGTTCATATCACCTTATCTGGTTTCCCCATCCATTTCACTTCACCACCAAGCTTTTCGTATTTGGCTGCCAATGTACCTAAGACATAAACCAAAATGGTTTAAAAATCTTTTATGCATCATAGCAGAGGAACTCCACCACTTTTGCAACAAGCAAGAGTAATGAAATAACCCCAACCACGAAATCCAGGAGCATAGAGGGTTTGCCAGAGCAGGAAACTCGTATAATTGACAGTTATTTTTTCTTGAACAAATTGAAGATAGAAAAGGTACTTATTATTGAGACTTTTTTTAGAAATAAAAACGTATCATTTTAAAAAATATATTATACTGTAGGAGCATCAATGGTCTAAATAAGTGGTAAGAACCAAAATTTAGCTAGCAAGAATCACCACAAATGAAGTTGATCTGAGGCTTCTCTAAGAATGCATATGTTACAATTCTTTGGGTTTTTTTGGCATCCAAGAGTAGCTTAAGTTCTTTCACAATTGCAATAGACTGAAGCAATCAGTAATTGATGAACTACACAGTAGATCATAGAAAAACCAAAATTGTGTAGATGAAACTGCAAAGCCTTGATTAAATAAGCCTTATATAAACCTTAGCATGGCCTTTGAAACTTCAAATCAAGAGGGATCTTAACTGATGTTAATTATTTCAAGATGATAAAACAAGAAATAACATTTCCTGGTACATTGTTATGCCCATAAGAATTTAATAGAAAGGTCAAGACACATAAGAGTCTGAGAAAATGCAAATACTAATTTTTAGATGAACTTGATTGCAAGATAAAGAAAACCATTTTTTACACATTTTTATCCAGTAGAACTTCATCTAAACATGAAAGAGGAAAGCCATACTTGCAAGCTGACAGGATTAGAGGTCAGAATATTGGCATGAATCAACAAAAATAAATACAAGAAACTAGTCCACAAATTAGCAGATTCAAAAACAGGAATTATTCCTCAGTATATTAAATTGAAAAAAAAAAGAAAGAAAGAAAGAAGAAGCTTATGTCAAATTCACATTTATAAAAAAAGCAATAAGTATTTAATAGGTTTCAACAACCTCAAGGCAATAACAATGGGAGATCAGGAAAATAATTGAAATTACATAAACAGAAATAGAAAAAGATGATCTGCATTGCACAACTAAAAAGGAGATGTGTTTTGACATGCTAATAGAAATAGCATCTATTTGACAATAGACCATGATAATTGTATCTGCTTCTCAATTACGGATGAATGTTTCATGATTCCCGTTGTGCAACTATAAATGTGATTTAAAATTTTTATTATTAGCCTTCAACACATTTCTATTATTAAGTAAATCTTTACCAGGCATGATACTCAAAGCTCTAGCTTCAACGGTCACAAAGTCTGGATTAGCTACCACCATGGGGATCTTTTTAGTTGCGCAACACTCCAATATTTTCTCAAGATCCTCAAGTTTCATAGGACGTACAGAACCTGAAGGAAGCCCCAAGGCTTCAGTGCCATGAGCCAAGATAAAATCAGCTTCTTCAACATTCTCAACAACTTGTAAGCCCAAACCCTACAACAATAAATTTATATGTATGACTTGTTAATTCAATCAAACTGCCCTGTCATGAAGTCTGAATACTATTATTTAGCAGCAATGGAGAGGATAAAAGTGTTTGTGATTGGCACATAAATGGATGGACTAGGTGTGTAATCCCATTGGAAAGCCAGTGGCTCAAGTGATCATTCTTCAACAAGAAAGAAGTCCTTAGGTCCACGGGAAAGTCCATGGGAAAATGTCTTGATGGTTAAGAGGTAACTAGTCTCGTAATTATTTGAGTTTTGATGACAAAAGGTATGGCAGTTTTTATTTTAGATGGAATGGCAATTAATTATGGCCCCTTTGGTCATATCTTCATTCTTTTCATAATTTAGGGCTTTCATCTGGTCTTTACTTTATTTGAATTCTTCAACCATAAATCTTACACTAGACTAATTCAAATCTTCTGACTTAGTAACACAAAAAACATTCATTGCATTCTAAAATCAAAAATACTTTACACATCTTGCAAAGTCTCTTTCAAATTAAAAAGTCCACGGCTTCAAGCAAACACAGAATTTTGACTTGATTACATAAGAAGCCAGTCAAAGAAGAGGTAATAATAGTACACGTGTACTTCTAGGGAGTTACCTTAGCCATATTGTATTTTGTAACCAACTTAAAGGATATGCTTATGATGGTTACAAACATATCCAAAACAGAGAAGGTAAACATTTAGCTTTCAAGGCATACTGGATGTTAGTCAGACAGTAATACAGCATGAATTAGGAATGTGTGATCCTTATGCTACAACCTTTAAGTGAGAGACAAAGAGGTTTCTTAAACTGGGGACTTGATTCGAGGAAAAACATAAAATAGGATGAAGGAAATAGTCATGAAACACTCAAAACAGTTTGCATACCTCAAGAGATATAGCACCCCTTTCACTCCAGGTCATATGAATGCAAGATCTTCCAAGCGCAGCAAACCAGGCATCATCTCTACTGAATGTAATAAAAGAAAGGAAAAGTCTTGAGATGTATATTACAGGCTTACAAAAGTAAAAGTTCAAATAAAAGCAGTATACACCATTGCTGCTGTAATTGGATAATGTAAACCATAAGAAAATGCATGTGGAAAATCCACAGACAAATGATTATAATTTTAAGGCTTAAAAAAGTTACCTACATTCATTTTTTTAAAATAAAAATCAGTAAGATAGAAAATATTTATTCATGTTAGAACACTGCATGGAATTCATAGGATAGATGTATTTTTTAGCACTATAAATTTGGTCCTACTAATGTAATGCCTAATGAAAAATCTAATGTGGCAAATGGAAACTATGAACAAGATTGGACTAGTCAAATATCAAAATGGATTCAGATATTGATGAAAATTATAGATGTTGGGGATTTCTCCATATGTAAGAATAAGATTACAAGGGTAAACCTTTGCAAGTACTGATGCGTTAATTCTCCACTGGTGATGGCTCCTACAAAGAGAGAAGGATCAAAGCCTAGGCTCTTCATTCTCTCTATTGTCGTTGATGCACGTCTTGAAGAATTACTTATAATCACCATCTTGGCACCAGTGGTCTCCAGCTTTTCCACTGTCACCCAAAATGATTGTATCCTTTATGAAAAAAATAAAAACTAACATGCCTCTAACCTAACAAGTAAACACTTCACCATACCAGCAAGTTAAAGCTTTACCAAAGTGCCAAAACTCACAAATGAAAACATACATGTTGAAATCGCCCCTGGGTAAGGTTGTTTGCCATCATGAAGGACGCCAAATTGATCCAAGAACCATGCCTGTGAACCAATCAACAAATTATCCAAAAGCAACAAATGTGTGTGACAGTACATGTTAGTACTAAAAATACATTTGAGCTAGGCATAACTACCTATGTATATACGCTTGCATTTGTTAATTAAAAATGCCAACTATCCCCAGATCTGTAGTGTCAACCTAGATATTGGAAATCTTATAAATGCATTGACAGTTCCAGGTCAATTACTCTTACTCCAACCGGCGGAAGAGTTGTTCATGACTGGAATATTTCTAACCTTCACAGATTTTTAATCTCTGAAGCAGGTTGATGAATGGAAACAGCCATTAGCCAGGTCTAAGCATATGGTAGATACGGGGTCACGCCCTAATTAAGTGATTTGCTAGGCATCCAAACCAGCTACTTTTCCTTCTCTGATACTTGAGATGGTTAATAGACCTTTGATTTTAAACCAAAGTATACATTCCACACCAAATTCATAATCTCATTGTAAAAAACATGCATTTTTTATATTCATCAAAGTTTAAACATTTTAATCTTCAAATTCTTCAAAAAGTATTGTTTGGTTTTGCCTCCAAATCGAATTTTTGCTTTTCATTTCCAGAAGCAAAGGCATTTGAGTAACATTGAAAGAAAAGCATAAAGCAAAATGATGAATCAAATTGTTCAGAAGTTAAAGTTAAAGTTAAAAATCTATTTAACAAAGATTCAATTATCCAATTTACAGCTAAAATTAATACTTTGATTAACTAAAGCGACTTCAATTTTCGATAATCGAAAAAATAATATGACAAAAAGAATTGACAATACAGATTTTGAAAATGAGCGAGCAGTTGAGTACCTTGAAACGATGCGTTTCGGCAAGGCGTTGAAGACTATTGAAGGTCTGAAACAGATGCTCAATGGATGGAGAAACAGAGCAGTTGGCCATCATTTTTCTCTTTCTTCTTTTTTTTTTTCTTCTGTTTTTGAAATCTTAGGTCTGGTTTTTCCGTACGTGAAGAAAATTTTAATCCTCCGTCAATGCTTTATTTTTTTTTTAGGTCAAAAAATTTCAAAATCTTTCCTATATAGCAAAATTTTCAAAAATAAATTATATTATTTATTGTTCTTAAATATTTTATTTAATTAAGCTTGGATGAAAAATGTTAAAATTTATCAAAAATATCCTACATAATTCTGAATTGATATCGGTTATTGTAATGTTATGCGTAATTGATGCATGTCATTCAAGTATAAAATAAATATAAAATTTCAAAAGTATTTTAAAAAATATTTTATTTACTATTTTTTATTATAAATTTGTATTAATTATAATAATAATTTTTATTATAAGTAATTTACTCTTAAATTTTATTTTATTATTTAAGTTGTTGATTTAAAAAAAGATTGATTCTACCAAGGTACAGATTATATAAACATTGACTTTATATAGATAATAAATTTTAGTAGTTTCATTCAAAATAAAAAAACTTTGTTAATTAAAATTTGTAATTTAAGAGCTTTTTTACCCCTTTTAAATAAAGAGTGTGCTTGGTAAAATATTAAAAAATTTTACAACCAACATTTTCTTGACTAGAAACAAAGCAAATTATTTTTTTTAAGAAAGAACAAACTATTTGTTAAAATCATAATAATTTTAACAATCGGGTAATCTTTACTCTAACAATAAATAAAAATAATTCCCTTACTCTAATTTATTGAACACCTCATTGATGTCTTAAACAAACTTAAAAGGTAAATTTGAATTATTGAAAAATTTTTTACAGGAGTTGTTAATATAATAGATATCATTTAAAAATAAGTAGTTCAAATAGAATCAAATTTTTTATTGATTTAAGTATTTGAGATCTTATGAATAAACACATGATATCTCTAAATCTAATTGAATTTCAATTTAAGAATCCCATTGAATTCTAATATGATAAAGATGATATTAATTATGAATTATTTTTATGTGACGAATATGATATTAATTATGATTCATTTCAATTTAACAAAAATGATTTTGACAAAGATGATTCTCACTTTCTTACGGTTCGTTTTTGCTAATTAATTTCCTTTCATTTAGTATGCCCATTAGTTGACATTTGTCAATAACCGAAACTTAAAACCAATCTATTTTCCAAGCAAAACCACAAATGAAGATAATATTTCACCTCTTCTTTTTTGCCTCTTGCTATCATTTGTTTTTAATAATAAAAATTCAAAATACCAAAGCTAAAAAATTTTAGAATAGTTATCAATCAAAAGCCCTAACCCTGCTTTGCCTTAGAGCCATTGAAGGGACTGACTCATGCTTCTGCTTCTCCAATGGTATTGTGTTTATCGCCATCTCTATGGCTAAGATTGCCTTCTTTTAGAGTCTCTCTTGACGCTCCTAAAGGTTTAGACATCGATTTTCAATCTTTCAATAAATGGATTTTCTTCAACCAATCCTTTATTGATTTCGTAGCTTCTAACGAAAAATTCATGGGTTGAAATTCCCATTTTTATTACTTACAATTTTTTATTTAAATTCTCATTCTTTTTTTTTTTAGGTTCATTTAATATTTTTTTATTAACTTTTATTTTAAGCTGTGAGATTTCTGAGGTTTTTCTTGTTTGTATGTTGGGAATATTAGAGGTTTCCAATCTAATGTTATTAAAGGAGATGCACTAGATGTGGTAAAAAACCTTAAGGGCAAATTCATCATGTTCTGAAAAAAAAAATGCATATATTAGAGGTTTCAAATATATTGTTATTAAAGGAGATGCACTAGATGTGGTAAAAAACCTTAAGATGAATGTGCTTAATATTAGACCTAGCAATTTTAGATATGATACGAAGATACAACATTAAAATGATATAAAAAAAATCATATATATATTTTAAAAAAACATGTTTCGTGTTTATTCATATCGACACGAATTTAGACATAATATAATTCGTATCTTATACATCTAAACACATAATACGATATGAATAACACGTTTAATTTAATCTTATTATATCAATACATGTTTAATATGTTTAACACGTTTAACATATTTTTATATTTATTTTAATTTAATATAAACATATAAGGATTATTTTAATTTTTAATCTTTTAATTATAATACTTAATTAGCTATTTAATACCATATAAAAATTATTTTAAACATTTAATTATGATACTCATTTACTAATTATTATAAAATTATTGTTTATATTAATAATATAAATACAATATAAATATTAATATTAATCCTATATATTATTATTTTATTCTTTAATCTTTAATAGTTTATCATTTTGAATTTGATACTAAAAATTAATATAATTATGTAATATATATTAAAATTTAAATATATATTAAATACATATTAAATGGCTATTAAATTTTTTTTAAATATGTAAGTATAATTTTTATATTATTAATATGTTAAGTTTATTAAGTTATAAATGATAAACAGTTTATAGTTATTTATTATTTTAATCGCATTTTTATATATATTTATATTAGTCGTGTCTATTCATGTATATTTGAGTTAATCATGTTTAAATATATTTATTATATATATGTTAATCGTATCGTGTCGTGTCGCATATAACATGTATAATAAACGTGTCATATTTATGTTTAAGATTTAAACACATTTCATAATTCGTATTATATTTGTATTTTAATAATTTATATCACTACACATGTCAAAAAGACACAAAACACAACAAGGAAACATGAATTGCTAGGTCAACCTAACACGTCTCAAATTGAAATTATTTAAGACGCAAAGTACAAGGTGAATGCTTTTTAAACTTGCAACTTTAACCATACGAGGAGAGAAGGAAACAAAGTTGCCCATGTGCTTGCTAAAAAAAGGGCTTAATGGAATTGAAGAATGTTTTTGAAATGAGGAATGTGCAATTGAATCAATGTTTAATGCATTTTCTATGCTTTTACTCAAATAAAAAAAAAAAGTAAAGAATAGGAATTAATAACTCATTTTCTACACGTTTTTATGCTTTTAATGCATTTGTGATAGTGTAGATAGGAATTGATAATTCATTGATCATGACCTACGTAGAAAAAGAAGTTTACCTTTTTGATAACTCAAAGGAATTGATAACATTAAATTACAAGATCAAATGTGCATTGTTGTCATTATAACATTATTGCATTTTCCATACATTAAAAGATCAAATGTATACTACTATCAAATGCCAATTACTTAAACCTGATTCATCATTTTGATGTATGAAAGAACCAAGACTAAAGCAAATGCCTTATCATCACTATTAAGAGCTTAGAACAAACAAAAATGAACTATTGTTTTTCTTCTATTCTATAGGTGAAGTTAAGGAAAAGTGTTCAAGCTCAATAGCTCGAAGAGGATCCATGATTCAAGAGGGATTGAAGTAGAACCGGTTGTAAATAGATGGAAATGAGGACAATAATTGGAACAAGATTCTAAAAATAACAATAATATGCTAAGTTCTCAACTTGAAGCATCAAAAACACAAACCACCAACTAGATAAGGACCAAATCCCCACATCACCATCAATAACAGAAGTTCCATATCACCTTTTTCTTAAAGAATCTATCCAAAAAAAAAAAAAAAAAACCTAAGATATTTTATTGGAATAACAATGTTGTTTACGCGTATAGCTTTGGCTTCAGATAACTCCACACGTCTTATATCTGATCCTATATTTTTAATAATTTGGGTAAGAAAATCTATGTTTGCAATTTTAGGCCACTCTTAAGATGCAGGAGATATACATGATATATTAGAATGAAGACTCATTTTATCACAATATCATTATATTTTTCTGCATTTTCCTTTAGTATTTGTCCAATCTTTTTATATAATAACTTCTTAGGAGCACAATTACCATTTTCATCAGTCAAAGGAATGGATATACTCACTATATATAACACCTCACTTGATACCATATGAACCGATAGTGAACTTGTAGTTACCCATAATATTGTAAGCAAACTTCAACAACAATTGCATGACACCTAAAGCAATAATTTTCCAATCGGTAGCTTAAGGATAATGCCTTTTAATTTCGTATACATTTAATAATCACTTTTATGATTTCTAGTCCTTTAAAGCATTCATTTAGTTTTTTCTTTTTTTATAAGTATCTTTATTAGTTTGACCATTTTTCCTTTGATGCTTCAATATGTTTTAGTTTAAGCTGTGTTTTACATATTTGTAAGTCATTTTTTTATCTACTATTTACTTAACCATTTGCATTCCATTTATGCAAGGGAAAAACAAAGATGAAGACTATACTAACAAAGTAGTTATGTACAAAAATATATCCATACTTCAAGATCCACTGAAGGCATTTGAATGTGTCATTTTCAACAATTTTTTGGTCAAAAAAAAAGACGGACAACAAACTATCTTTTGAGGATTAATTTGAAATTCATCTATAATAGTGATGAAAATTAAATTATGTTGTGTGAATTACTTTTGGAATTGCATTACTATAATATTTATTATGTTACATAGTTTGCTCGGAAGCATGAAAATATCTCTAGTATAACTAATATTTATACACCCCCACTCTCCCAAGTGAGAGAGCTTACAAACCCACATTTTTAATGATTTTATTTTTTTCTAACATGTATTATTATTCATTTTTAAAAATCACTTAATTAAAGATTTTCAATAAAAAAGTATTTAAAATAAATATTTAAAAAGCTCCTAAATCTATTTAGTTATTTTAGTCTAAGGAAAAATATGTTATTTAATTAATTAATATTACATCTTTAAATCTAACCATTTATTTTTAATTTTTATGAATATGAATAATTATAAAATCATTTTTTTTTTTACAAAAGATTCAATAAAAAATCTATGATTTATTTTTATAATAACATACCAAATAGTTTAATTTGTTAATTACACAAAGCTACTTGTAGAACATTGAAAAATAGTGATAGTTCAATAGGTTAATTGCATAATAAAAGTTGGTAATAACTTAAATGCATTTTTGACAAAAGTTGGATTGGTAAATTACGGATAATTATCTCAAATTTTTTATCATTTTAATTGAAGCTTGAAGATAAATACTTAGGGTTATTAGGGCTGTAAACAAATCAAAAATGA